CCTAGGACCCTGGCTCCGAGAGTGCTTTGCCTGGAATCTCAAGGAACACGGCCTCTTTAGTGAGATATATAGCTTCATAATTAGCCCGTTGCATTTTTTTCACAAGTGCTAGCATCAGCGTTCTACGATGTGTTTCTCTGATTAACAGCTGCTTTGCAACTATTTCCTTGTGCCACCGATGACCACATTTGTCAAGGAACTCCTGACAGAGTACTGATTTCTTACTAAAATGTAGCATTTCTATTTGAAGAGGGTTCTCTCATTTTTGGCAGTGCCCAGCTTTTAAAGTCAGTCCTTGTTAAAACTTGCGTTTCTTTGGTTTACCGCTTGTTAACAGGATTCTGGGTATCTATCTACTTCGGAGTACTCGCGGAGGGCCTTTCACAAGCAGTTTCATCTCTGAGCACGCAGGTGTAGCAGTGCAGTGTTGGGATGGGTTTCCGCCAGCATCTCGGTCATTTTCTTTTGCCCTGTAGTTGTGATCTCTCTGGGTTAAAAGGGGCTTGGCTTTGGTTGTTAGTGTCATTAATTTTTGAATATTTTTTAATATTTTAAAATGGCTAATGAATGCTCACATTTTAGGAGATAGATGTGTATGTAGCACACAGGAGTGCTGGAATTGGTGACATTCCAAATAAGTGTCATTGGAGACAATGCATCAGGTTTACATGTCAGGTGCAAAGTGCGAAGGTTCGTTATTAGGCAAGCTCCATCCTCCTGTCCCCCCCGCCCCCCATGTGGAAAATAAAGTGTGCATTCTGGAGATGACAGTGTGCAGGTCTTTTGTAGGAGAGCAGAAAACACATAGGAAGCAGCTCTTCCGCGAGGACTGTCAGGAACCTTGATTCTTCTCACTAGGGATTACTTATCCTACACAATGCATTTAACAGCACATAGTTCATCGTAGATAGCCCTTGAGTATACTGTATTCCATTGATTTATACAGTTACGAATCCTGGTCTCTCAAACACAAATCTCTCTCAGTTGGCCAATCATCTTGGATGCAAAGGTGTTTTCAACTTGAAGTCCCCCCTTTTCCCCGGTTACTAACAGTCACTCCAGCAGAACCATTGCAAAAGCAAGACTTTACTCCTCTTCCTTGTACCTCAGTTTCACCTCTAGCTTTAAGTGATAAACATTGAAAATGATCAAATTTCCCTAAAATCATGGAGTCGATGATGACAGGGTTGTTTTATTTTGCTTTTTAGGAGAGGGAGGCAGAAGATAGGGCCACAGGAGTAGGGGTGGTGAGAAACTTTGCTTCTGTTTTCTTCTGAGTTTGTCTTTATTTTTATGAAACCGGCTACACTGGTGACTCAAGGTGCACTCATTAAGAACTCTCACGGTGCAAGAGGAGAAGAAAGGAAAGCCAGTGAGTGCCATGTTTATCATGGTCTCAGCAGCAAGTGGCTTGGACAGTGGGCATCAGGTACTTGGCACTAGTATTTTCCCTGGCTTGCTTACTCCCACAACACGCACAGTAAAGTTCCTGTTTCCGTTTTACATCTTTGACACTGAGGCGGAAGATTTGGCCTGAATTTATGTAATTTAGTTGGGCACAGATATAACCCATGAATAGTCACATTTATTTCCTAATTAGAAAATCAAATGATAATACAGGACAGGCTGCAGGCACCCCATCATTTCATCCAACAAAAGCATGTTGTGTGTGCTGGACCTCTGCAGAGGAGAGTCCATTGAATTGCTTCATGAAGTTAATGAAAAGTGTCCCACAGTAGGGGAATGCAAGATGCAGACCAAGTGCACTGTCAGTGTGTTAAAATCTTTGCACTGGGGGTAAAGATTTTTGGGAAATCTGTGTATGAATCCTAGGACTTATGAAATTCTAAATTGGATAGTCCCTCATCCCCCTATTGTAGTGCCAGTTCCTGTGCGGAGGGAGGAGGAGAGTAGAGAGTAGCCAAAGAAATTAGTGGCAGGAGGAGAGAGGTTTTCATATGTTCACTTACATGTAGCTGCTTAGCTGAGTCTCTTTCCTATTCAGCACATTATGTTGAAGCTGTTAGTTTGGATGCTTTATATTTTTGCATCTGGCGTAGTGATATCGACGCTGTTAAATATGTGATTTGCCTGTCGCCTGCATTTTCAGACAAAGATCAAGAGGAACATAAACAAACCCCAAACATACTTTATGTAGGTGTTTGGCAGTATTATTTTATATGGCTTGAAATTAGTGAATGGAAACTTTAAAAGAAATTGTTCATATTTTTGCAAGTTTGAAGTGTGCCGGGACTTTGTCAAATTCCCGTTAAAATAAATACGTCAATTTCATCTCCCTTCCAAATTCATTTATCTTGCTTTTTTAAAAGGTGTTTTCTACTTTACCTGATGTTTAAATTGGATTCGCTCGTTTATGCTGTTCTTTGCTATATCCCCCGCGTTTTTCTTAAATGAATTACTAATGACAGAGCACTCCATCATCCCCTCTCTACAGCCACTTTAAGGAAAGCATGGTGATCTAAACCTTTTAACCTATTAAAGATGATTTTTCCCAATTGAATCAGACCCACCACAGGTGTAATAACTAATCATTTAAACTACACCTGCTATTATGTATTTTTAAGCCATTATGCGTGTTGGATAGATGATAATTCATGTTTATTGCATTGTCCGATGGATCCGTTTTGCCTACACTAGGCTGATTAATGTATTTAAAGAAATAAGGGATGCAATTTTAAAAAAAAAAAACATTGATGGAATGCGCCAAGCACTGCATTGAGTGCACCATTAAACCCATCAGAACTTTGCTCTCTGACCAGAAATGCATATACCAAGGACTATATTAAAAAAGCAAGGTGAAACCTGTGCGTTTTAGTGGTGGGGTTCTGTTTTTCTTCTCTGTCATGGAAAATTTTGGAAGGCAGAGGGAAAGGTGTATGCTTATGGGTAAATGAGGGGAGCTGTGCTATTAGCGTCTCCTGCCTAGGACCTGCTCAGCCATGTTTCCTCCGACACCTGGTCCACATGCCCCAGCTGCGGAGACAGCCAGATGACATGGACGCTCTAATTGTCTCGTGTGTCAAGGTGTATTTTTTTCCTCCAGGTGAAGAACAATTATCCCCAAGCCATCTGAGCTGTGCACATTGGCATTGACCCTGTGGGGCTGGTGACACTGTGACTGACTGTCTACGCTCTTTCCAGGGCACAGGCCTCTCTGCCTTTTGTTTTCTTTCTCCTCCTTGGCCGCTTCCCCTGCGCTCTTCTCCCCTTTCCTCTTCTTTTGCTTCCCCTTCTGCTCCAGCTCCTCTGCTTCCTCCTCGTCTGATTGCCCCCCTTCTTCTTTTCCCTTCCTTTTCCCTACGTCTCTCCTTTTCTTTTGATTCTTTTCTTTCTTCCCCTCTTCCATATCTTTATTAAAATGAACCCATTTTGGGGGTGTTTGTCTGATTTTGGTGCAACCTGAAGCGATCTGGTTGAGGGCTGGGGGGTAGGTATGTAGTTTTGGGGTTCTCTACTTTTGAGCATTGGTTTTCTCTGGTCAAGAACTGGTTGGTGATCACTGCAGTTCATGATGGTGGCTGATATGTTTGCAGATTGTAAGGAGCACTAGGTTTCCTATCACTCACAGGCTCAAACCTTAACAACTGGGGTCCCTGAGTTCATTCTTCAGGGAGAATGTGTTAGGGAAGCTTCCCAGGGAAGGACTACAGGAAAAACATATAAGGAATTGCCCTGGCCTTTTGTTTTTCTTTCTTATTTATCCTCATATATTGTGTCATCAGAGAAGTCTGGTCTCAAGATTAAATTCAGGTAAAATATGAAGAGAATATTTGTAATTTGTATTCTACTTCTAGTCACAGTGCTTTCTCTTTGACTCTCTAGAGAACCATTACCCTTAGTTAGAAGGATCTTGGTAAACTTCCATCTATTTAGCCCCTTAGAAATTTTTTCTTTCAGCAGCTTATGAGTGAACTGCAGGGCCTGTTGACTTTACCTGTAACATGAGACTATATTATTCTTTTGGTTTTGACGAAATGAATAATGGCAGTCGTTCAAAATGGCCCTTTTCCTACCTGGGGCAGGTTCCCGTTGTGGTTGTCTGGAATGGAGAGCAGACAGGTGGCGCGCAATCACGTTTAGTGTGTGCTGAGTGATGTGAAGGTACATACCTTCAACACTGCTCCTTCCGTCCTCTACCTGGCTCATTCATAGATAGGAAGATTTCTTAACCATCATGCCAAGGTAGATATATAATCAGTCAGTCTATGAGCTTTTAGCCATGAAACCCCAAACTTTGTCCTTTGAAGGCTCTTTAGGATTGAGTGCCATTGCATGAGAGGGACCAGTGTGCATGGCTGTGCATGTTGCCTCAAGTAATTGAGGTGGTAGATGCTCTACATTTTGCTGGGCTCTGTGGAGGCAGCACGGTCTCTTCCCTTCAGGTTTGTGCAGTGTGTTTGGGGAGGCATCTTGAGCATTAGAAGACAGTGTAATTATGTCTTCAATTATACGGTACAGACGACAAGCATGGAGGAAGTGGAGAGAATAGGGAGATCAGAGATGGCTTGCTTATGGAGGGAGGGCTTCAGGGAGTTAGAACAGGCTGTAAAAGGACTGTGCTGGGGGTGTGTGTGTGTGAGAGAGAAATGTTTAGACAAGTAGAGGTGGGAATGGGAGGCCTTCTAGAAAAAGGGCATAGCATGAACACAAGTGTTGTGACGTGGATGAGCTTGGCCAGGAGAGAGCTGCCCGCCGAGACGTATGCAGAGTTGGCTTGGACAGGGAGAACAGGAGAAGATTGTTGCAGGTCTTAGAAGCCAGGCTGAGGGGATTAGATTTGATAGATACAGGAAACCAATGAAGGCAGGGAGTTGATGTAGTATTTTGTTCAGGTAGATTTTAAATGTGAGAAATACCTGGTTATAAATGTGACTGCAGCAGTGTGTTATTTCTGTGGACGTGGATAAACTTACAGGATTTTTAATCTTGAAATTCAGGCTATTGAAGTTTACTTTTCTCTGTTTTATCTCCCCCACCAGATTGCCACAGCAGTGAAGTTTCTACAGAATTCTCGTGTCCGCCAGAGCCCACTCGCGACCAGGAGAGCATTCCTTAAGAAGAAAGGTACAAGTTCCCTGTGGCCATGCACAGTGACTTGCAGGAAGTGACTGGGGACAGGGCAGATGGAAGCCAGTGTTGATGAAAGGCTCTCCTGTAACTTTCCCAGTAATGTGGGGGTGGGGAGGAGGGGTGCCCCCCCAGGGACACCCTAGCGGTAGAGCAGAACGATGATCTAATTTGGATAATTGAGCTCCAGATATAAGACCAGCAACTTAGCCCAGGTCAGCCCGACACAAGCAGCAGTCAGCAGCAGAAGAGGCCCGTTGGATAAGACTTCTGCTTTCTGCTCAGTTCTGACGATGGCCCTGGCTGCAAGATGATGGCCGTAGGTCAGCTGCTTTAGTAAAGAATCAGGAAGAAAGAAACTAAGGAAAAGGGAAATGAGAGGGATAAACAAGGTCAGGTTAAGGTCAAGATTGGGGTCCGTCTGATTTGCAGATCAAAGTGATTAATTACTGGTTTTATGGTATTTCTATAGGTAAGGATTAAATGAATCTTGACAAATTCAGTATTGTTCGAAGCAGAGAGAATCTATTCTGGCTCTGTTGAAATTTAGGATATTTTTCTTTTTGTTCAAAAAAACACACACCCAGCCCTGGCCAGTTTGGCTCAGTGGTTAGAGCATTGGCCCACGGACCAGAGAGACCCAGGTTCGGTTGCCATTAAGGGCATGTGCCTCAGTTGCAGTTTGTCCTTGGCCCTGGTTGGGGTCTTGTGGGTGGCGACCAGTTGATGTGTCTCTCTCACACTGATGTTTCTCTCTCTCTTTTCATCCCTCTCTTCCTCCCACTCTATCTGAAGATAAATGCAAAAATGTCCTCGGATGAAAATAAACAAAAACAAAAACACACCCAAAACAAAGAAATCCGATTTTTCATTTAATTCTAGAAAGCTTATAATCATGAGGGAGGAAAGAGAGTTTCCTTTCCCCCAAAACAGAACTCTCTTTCCCGTAAGAGCTAGAATGCTAGCCTCAAAATTCTGGGTTTTGAGCGTTCTGTCATTTGTGGCTGGAAAGGCAGGTGGAGTGGTTTGGTGGTATTTCCTAGGTCTGCTCCGTGGCATCCCACCGAAGTGACCTGCAGGACCGTGTTCCAGGGGTGCGCTTGCAGGGCAGGGCAGAAGAAGCCCAAGCATTTCGTTCACAGGCAGCTGTTCAGAGGCAGCCTCAAGGCTGGTGCCTGGGACTGAGCTGGAGAGGGGCGCTGTGCGCTTACTGGCGGCATCCTGCTCGCCCCCCATCAGTAGGAGATTATTAAAATTTGGAGTACGTTGGCTGGCCTCTCCACTCCGCAACCATCATGCCATAAAAGAGTTTTTCCTTGAAATATGTGTACCTATGGGAGTAATTAATCATAAAAGCTTGGGGATTTCAGCTCTCTCATCAAAGCATCGAAGCTGGGGAAAGCTGAGCCTAAAAGCTGTGTTGATTACCCGGGGTAACCTGAGACAAAATCTATGGTTGCCGAGAGATCCTTCGCCCCAGTATATTGTGCAATATTATAACTGCCTGATCTTCTCTTCCACTGACAATGACCAGTTATTCCTCATTTTCTCTCAAACGCAGCTGGGTTAGAATTTCATTTGCAGAGGGTATTTAGAGCAATTTAGAGACAAATGTCTCTGGTGTTTGCCCGGCACTTCCCCACCGCAGGCTTTGCTGAGCAGTTTTAGTATCAGGAGCTCCATCTAATCTGTTTAATTTTAATAAATCCCTGACTGGGAGAGGGAGAGAGAGAAAAAGAGAGAGAGAGAGAAACTCTGGACCAAATAATACTTCTTTTGAGTTAGTTGGCTGTTCATCACTATAGAGAGGAAACTGTTTTATGCAATTGTTATTTGTTGCTCCTTTTTAAAAGAAAACACAGCTGATTGATTAATGCATCCAAGAGCAAGTATTTACCTTGTGCCACGCCCTGCTTTGGTCGAAGCAGACGAAATCTCTGCCCTCTCAGCTTCACTTCTAATGGGGAAGGCAGACACATAAATGAAAAAACCGAAACATGTGGCATGGCAAGTGCCCTGGCACAGGGGTTGAGGATCTCAGTGTTGGTGTGGGCATGGGTTGCAGGAACCTTAAGAGGCATCCTACCCTTCTTCTCTGGAGTTTACCTGTACTTGTTTATTTATTTAAAAAAATTTTTTAAAATTGATTTTAGAGAGAGGAAGGAAGAGGGAAAGAGAGACAAAAATATCAATGAGAGAGAATGTTGATTGGCCGCCTCCTGCATGCCCCCGACTGGGGATCGGGCCCACAACCTGGGCATGTGCCCTGACTGGGAATTTAACTGGTGGCCTCTTAGTGCACTAATCGACCCTCAACCACTGAGCCACACTGGCCGGGCTGGAGTTTACCTGTGTTTAAACCTGAAATCGCACTCAGCCAGTATAGCTCAGTGGATTGAGTGTCATCCCATGATCTGAGAGGTCCCGGTTAGATTCCCAGTCAGGGCACATCCAGTCATTGTACATTGCTGAGGTAAATCACAGTAGGGTGGGTTCTGGCAGGACCTTTCCTAGGCAGAGAATTCTAAGGTTTGATTGGCATCTGAGGAAGAAGAGCCCTTCATGGTTTTAAACTTCACTTTTTAAATTTCCAGTTGTTCTCTGCGTCAGGAGGAACATGATCAGCGTAGCTGGGCACCATCTCTGATAGGATGAGGGAGGAAGGGCTTTTTCAAGGGAGTGAGTGTATACCTGTTCCTAACAGAAGTTGGGAAGGAAGGAGATTTGGTCTTTGGGATGGGGAGGGTGTCTTTCGGGGAGGCAAGGTATCTGATAGCCTGATCACCAGTGTCCCCCGAAGGACTCCTCGCAGTGGGTTGGGAGTGCCGGTGTGGGGCGAGCTCACAGCTCCTGTAGTCTTGGCTTTTCCTAGCAGATGTCACTTCGGGGAATTGCAGTAGAGCGCTGCCTTGAATTATAATCTTGACTTTCTTTTTTTTTAATAAACATCTCTTTCCTGAAAAGGCAAATCCAATTTTGTTTTTCTTTTAATATTATTTAATATTTAATATAGAAATTGAGGTCCCTGTAGTGCATGTCAGTTCAGTGGAAAATGAGGGTAACTTTAGGCGCATCAGCTGAGTTTGTTTTATTGTGAAACTGCAGCCTGGAGCAGGGGCTGCTTCCTGCCTCTGTTGCTGACAGGTTAGATGTGTGCTCTCTGATTTCGGGGGCCTGGGGAGGCCGGGGGGACTAGTAGAGAGAGGCATAGGGATGGAAGAATATGGTCTGAAAAGGTCTTTTGTGTTTGTGTTTTTTTTATTTTTGTTTTTTTGGAGATCTCTTAGATGCTTTAAAGTCTGAATATGGAATCATTAATGAGAAACATGAAGTTATTAGACTCGTTTATCATTTTCTTTGAAGTTTGTACTGCCATTTTGTGTAATTTACAACATTTCTTTTAACGGGATTTTTTGGATGAAAGAGGAAAGCAGCTGTTCACCTTCAGAGTATTAGAATAAATGCTTTTCCCCCAACCACTCAACTGTGCAGATGACACATCAACTACAGAGTCAGTGCCACATGAAGGGAAGTGGACCATACATGGGGTTTAAGCCCGCACAGAACTGGTCTATATATAGAAGCACTTCTTGCCTGGCAGGCATCGTATCTGGGCTTTAAGCAGGCTGCAGTCCAGCCTACAAACAGCAATCGAACCAGCCCAGAAAGTTAAAGGCTTGGTCATTGTTGTCAATAGGCTTATGTTGATCTGACACCCTATCCGACCACAAAATGTAGGAGGCAGTCTGCTTCCAAACATGTGTGGCAGGCTGAGCGTAAGGTGGGGAAAGGTAATGCCTGTTTGAGGGGGAAGGGGGACTGAAGGGATAGATGAGGTGGGAGGCACATGCAGTTGTCTATTAGCTTACTTTGATTGGTCTGTTCTAAAGCAGGCTTCTAGAGAAAAGCTGAGCACTGCACGCTTTTCTGTGTAGTCATGCGTAGTGGGGCCTGGTGGTGTTGGCTGCACTTCTGCTTACTGTGCCCTCTCAAGTGTGTAAGTCAAGTGCTGCATTCTCCCTCATCTAAAGAGTAGTCCAGGGTAGGAGGAAAACTAACTAAATAAAACACACCACTATACTTGCTCGTTCTAAATGGTGAAACAAGATCTTATCTTTCTTCTGTTCCTGGAACCGGAACCCCTAGTAGCAAAATTGCCTTCTTGCTGGAAGTGAATTTGAGGAAGAATCCTGATGGTCTCAACCTTGGAAGTGGGGTAGAGGTGAAGGGCTTCTCTCACTGGAGTGTTTTAAGGGGAAGTAAATTCTTACACAGATTTCAATTTAACTGTTTTATTACTTTTCTTTTTTATCATTTACGTCCTTTTCACGAGGTAGTGTGCATGTCCTTGAATGGAATCTCGTTACCATGAAAGCTTTTTTAGCATTGATTTCATAACAGTCTTAATTTAATAGCTCCGTCATTACTGAGAAGCTCTGGGAGTGGGGCCCTGGCTTTCCAGGTCACTGACCTTTTAATTACAAACCTTGTTCTGATGGCCAGGTTATCGACTGGACAGCTCCCAGCTTGTGCCCCTAGGATGAAAACGAAAATAACTGTGTTTCCTCCCCCATCTCCAGGAAAAAAAAAAGTAACCTCATGTGTTTCTAAAATTAATTTTCTCCTTCAGCAATTAATCCTTTAATGTGTCTTAGAGAAGCCAGACTTCTTGTTATAACGCTGTTTTTTTCTAGAGCTTGGGTCCAGCAGATAGCTTGGAGGGGGCGGGGTTGGGGAAGGAGATCTTGCCAGCTATCATCTCGTGCTTGATCGTGGCCCATTTCCTCGTCCTCAAAACTCCTGCTGCTGAGCTGGAAGGAATAGCCTTGGCCCTGTGAGGGGCGGCCTGGCCCTTCTGATGCTTTGTTAAGGAGGCATGGATCGCTGCATCAAGACTTAAATTCATCCCCGTACTGCTGGAGTAATTGAGCCCTGTATATCATGGACATTGTAAAAAGGTGTTCTTGTTCCGAGAAAAGACAGGGTTGGATGATTTT